CACTAATCAAATGCTGTTAATTAAACAAGAAATTAGAAATGGCTGCAGTGTCTTGTCTGATGTAAGCAAGCTGAAACCTAAACCAGAGTCAATTCCTGAAAATATCTCAGGGTTAAAAACAGCTAATCACAAACAGCCAACTAGGCTCCCCAAAGCATTGCCTGTGTAGCCAATAAAATAATTTCCTTGCTTTGCTCCTGTGTCTCCTCTATAAAAGCCTCTCCATAGCTCTTGTCAATGGAGGGTTCCTAAACTCCTGGTCTATGCTGCACAATCTGGATGAACATTTGTTCAATAAACACTTAAACATTTGAAAATGCTTCAATTTATCTTTTAACACTGCCAACCCAGATCATAGGATCAACTTGTCAAATTCCAATGAAAACATCCAATCAAAATTACATTGACCACAGAGATTAATTTGGCAATAATTAACATTTAAAAAATATTTTTACGACAGGTTGTGTCACTCTTTTGTGCAAACCCTCCGGTGATTTCCCACTTCATTTCCACTGAAAAAGATTTGCACACATACTGTTCAGTAAAAAAAATTAAAGAAGAGGCTTTATCTCTTTGACATTGTTCATGGAGATTCTCCTCCTTACTTTTTCCACTGCAGCCACACAGGATGCCTCTTTGCTCTAGGAGGCACTTCCTGTTTTCTGTGCCTAGAACAGTCTTCCCCCAGAGATCGTGATGGCTCATGCTCTCACCTATTTTAGTGTGTGTGTGTGTGTGTGTGTGTGTGTGTGTGTGTGTTTAGGCCTTTGAACAAATATTTCAGCTTCTCAGTGAAGATTTCTCTGAACACATTGTATAAGCTTGCATCCTTCCTGCCCAACATTTTCCATCCCTTTACCTGCTTGATTTTTTCTCCTTAGCACTTACCTAATGTATTATAAATTCAATTATTTTATTATTTATCTCACCATTACCTCCACACCCCACACTCTAATAGAAGATCACTGAGATAGGAATTTTGCTTGTTTTGTTCACTGTTGTTTCCCAGGAATAGGGTTGGGCCTATGATAGGTGCTTTGGAATATGGTAGGTGCTCTAAAAGCACCTAATGAATAAGTGATATAACACAAAGCAAATGTAAAACTTGAAAGGAAAGACTGTTCATAAAGATTATGTTTTTTTTTTTTAAAAATGTATTTTTATTGATATTAGAGAGGAAGGGAGAGAGAGAAATGTCAATGATGAGAGAGATTCATTGATAGGCTGCCTTCTGCACACCCCTACTGGGAATCAAGCCTATAACCCAGGCATGTGCTCTGACTGGGACTGGAACTGAGATTTTTTGGTTCCTAGGTCAATGCTCAACCACTGAGCCACTGGGCAAAAAGATTAGTTCTGAGGAGTATATTGGGATAACTTAAAATTTTAATTTTTACATTATATATTTAATAGTTTGACACTTAAAAAACAGCATTTATATGTTCTATAATAAAAATAAATATATGTATCAAAATATAATGGCACATTATTACTCTCTGGGAACATAAACATTACTGATAGGGGAACTTATATCTGGTAAATAGAACACCTGAATTAATCTGAAAAATAATAATATTATTTTAAATCTTAGAACATATATACTATGTGAATAAAAAGTTAAATTTCTCAAGAGAGGATCCGAGATGGCTGCACAAGTAAACACCTAACAGCAGTTGCACATAACAATTTCAATAAAATATAAAATGGACATTACCCAGAACTACAGGAAAGTTGACTGACTGGAAATTCTACAACGAGAAGCAAGGAGAAAACCAGAAGGAAGAGCAGAGGAGCTGTAAAAGCCTAAGATATGGAGACACACGGCACTAGTGGAGAGGACAGAGCCGGAGAGGAGGGGGAGGCTGAGTGCCTGGCTGGCGTTCCCTAGTGGGAAGGAGATAAAAGCTCCGGACTGTGCTGAACCTCAGACCCAACAGCGCTGAACCCCAGTTCTAGGCCAGACCCTGGGGACCCAGGCTCATGCAGAGGGAGCTGGGCTGGAAGGCGGAATCCTGAGAGAGCGGCGAAAGGCAGAGCCCCCAGAGGTGTGCACATTGCACGCAGAGAAGGGAAGGTTGGCTGTGCTGTGGGATTGCCCTGGCAGGAAGGAGACAGGGGCTCCAGACTGCTCTGAACACCACCTCCAATCCCACTTCCAACTGAACTGAACCCCAGTTCCAGGCCCATTGGGGGAGAGACTAGACTGTTTGGTAGCAGGCGAAACTCGAGGGCACCTCACTCTCAGAGGTGCTTGCAGCAAGTACTGAAGAACCCTGAGGAATACTGAGACTCAGGAGCCACATAGGGCGTGGCTGACGGAAGCCAAGGCTGTAGGCTCCACCCTGAAACTCTGCCCCATCAGGGAAGCTGTGAAAATGCCGAGACAAGGAAATATATCACAAACTAAAGAAATGGAGGACAGAAAGCGACTGGATATAGAGTTCAAAACCACGCTTATAAGGTTGTTCAAGAATCTCCTAGAAAAGGCTGATAAAATAAACGAGACCTATGAGGATATGAAAAGGGATCAACTAGAAATAATAGGGATCAACAAGAAATAATAAGGGATCAACAAGAAATAAAGAATACATTGTCTGAAATAAAAAATATTATACCGAGTCCTAAAAACAGAATAGAAGATTGCAAGAATCAAGTCAAAGATTTGGAACACAAAGAGCCAGAAGACACTCCTCCGCAGAAGCAAGAAGGCAAGAGAATTCAGAAAGTTGAAGATAATGTAAGAAAATTCTGGGACAACTTCAAGCGAACCAACATCAGAATTATGGGGGTCCCAGAAGATGAGAGAGAGCAAGATATCGAAAACATACTGAAAGAAATAGTGACAGAAAACTTCCCCACCTGGTGAAAGAATTAGACTTACAAGTCCAAGAAGCGCACAGAACTCCAAACAAAAGGAATCCAAAGAAGACCACACCAAGACAAATCATAATTAAAATTCCAAGAGCAAAAGACAAAGAGAGAATATTAAAAGCAGCAGGAGCAAAGCAGGTAGATACCTATAAAGGAGCACCTATACCATTGTCAGCTGATTTCTCAACAGAAACCATGCAAGCCAGACGGGAATGGCAAGAAATATTCAAGGTGATGAATACTAAGAACCTACAGCCAAAAATAACCTACCCAGCAAAGCTATCACTCAGAATCGAAGGCCAGATAAAAAGCTTCACCAATAAAAAAAAAGCTAAAGGAGTTCATCACCACCAAACCAGAATTATATGAATTGCTGAAGGGGGTTCTTTTGGAAGAGAAAGTAAATAAAGATAAAAACTATGAACAACAAATACGTAACTATCAACAAGTGAATCTAAAAACTAAAAAAATAAAAAAAAATCTGATGAACAATATTAACTGGTGAATATAATAGAATCAGAGGTATGGAAGAGGAGTGAACTGATGATTCTTGGGGAAAAGGGAAGATGGGGATGTGGGAAGAGACTGAACATAAACTGTGCACCTATGGATGAGGACAATGATGGGTGGGGAAAGGGCAGAGGGTGGGGTGGGAACCTGGTGGAAGGGAGCAACGGAGGGGGGGAAATGCTAAACTTTTGTAATAATATGGACAATAAAGATTGATTAAAAAACAACAAACAGATATGCCCATCTATCTCTAAAATCCTGATCTCCCCCACCCCTTTTTTACTAGGGCCTGGTGCACAAAATTCATGCACAGGTGCAGTCCCTAGGCATAGCCGGCAATTGAAGTGCGAGCATCTGGCGTGGACGGGCAAGTCCCAACTGATCTCTGGGCCCTGGGCAACACCTGGGCCTCTGGGCCCCCGTGTACCCCCCTCTGCCTGAGTCACAGTGCCTGAGTCTCCATGTTGGGATGCGGTGAGTGCAGCCGGATACTGTGGGCCAGAGTGCAACATGGCCTCTGGACCACCCAGTGGCACTGCAAGGAAGCCAGGTGTGAACCCACAGGGAGTTGACCAGCCCCTACGGTCCCTGCTGCTGTGGCCTGGCTCACCCAGGAGGCTGTGCAAGTGTGGGGCAGGCTCCTCGAAGGCACCTGGCATCTGAATGCCCGCTGCCAGTGCCGCATCACCAATGCCCTCCATGTTCCATGCCGCCCCCTGGTGGTCAGCACACATCATAGTGAGCAGTCGAATCAGGTCTCCTGGTCAAAGGACCACCCGAGGAGACAATTTGCATATTAGGCTCTTATATAGGATTATTTAAAAAGTGAGCTCTTATTCATGTGGAGGAAGCTTAAAAGGCCATTAACTTGGTCTAAACAAGCTTCCAAAGAACATGGCATCCATGAAAGAGAAAAATAAAAGAATGAAAGAACAGCTGAAGTACTGAGGAAGAAATCATTAAGAAACTGTTTAAAAATATAATATGAAATGATGAAAAAATAGCAAGTAAAGTTCAAAACATGAGAACTGAAATGCATAAATATGTGACAATATATATTTATATACTGTATATGGACCCCTAGAGCCATAAGAAATGCAAAAATAAGTTATTAAAAATAAGTTATAGATAAGAATTGCCCCCCTTAAAAATCAAATGCCCCCCTGAGCAATTTGGGTATGTGCCTCACATTGGGAATCACTGCTCTAGCTCTTCCCCTTTATAATCCTGTTCCCTGCACCTTGTGTACGACAGGATGTGAATGCTTGTAAGCACCCTGTTTTCTTGGTTGGCTGGCCTTCTCAATAAATGCCTTATATGACTCAACCCTGCCTTGGTTATTGGACATAGTGACAGGGAGCCTGAGACCAACAGGGGATTTACCAATAACACCACTATTTCTTAAAGACTAAGTGCCAAGGAATTTAAACATTTAACCTCATTTTGATCTACATAACAGTAGCAGTATTATTGCCAGCATGTGAGGAAACTGAGATTGAATGAGGTGAAGCAGCTTTCCCAGTCCTCACAATGTTAGTGCTGGGGCTGAGGTTCAAACCTTGCTCTTCCCAATGTGCTATCCCATCACCCAGAAAAAGCTAACAAATCAAACTACTCACTAGGCTTCCTTTTTCTGGACATCTCTTGAAGCCAGCTTTCTTCTGTTTGGACTGATATTGGGATTCCTGGATATAAATCATAATTACTCGACCTGAAATTTAGACAAAACATTATTTTTGAATATGCCTATATAGTTGTTATCAGTTCTAAATAGAGTACGTTTAATAGTCAAATAACAAGTGTACACAGAAGATCCTGAATTCTATTTTCTTTGAAGTATTTTCTTCCATTTTTATCTCTCCAGTAAAGTTAGGCACAGTGTGTTTGCACAGCATCTGTTCTTTAGCAAGTACTCCTTTCTAAATCCTGGAGGCTCCCAATGCCAATATCTCCCTCAGGGACTAAATTACTACCATTCTGTGTGTGTGTGCTGCTAGTGGTGGTGGCAGTGATGGTTAAGTGCTTGAATTTAAATGAGAATTCTTTTTAGAAGGCTGAAGCTAAATGCAGAGTAATTTAAAATTTTTCATTCTATAAGTAGTTTAATCAGTTACTACTTGAATTATCATTGACATGATAGAAAGGCAGGAATTTATTGACTTTTACTAGTTAAAGTGACTGTTACTGGTAACAAGTACATGATAACTTGTTTTTCAAGTTCCTTTGAATTTCATTTTCTTGTAATAATTTTGGGCATCTTCCAAAATTATCAAACAAATTAAAAAAAAATTTAGACAAATTTCAAAACTGTCCTTCTTTAAAAAGAATAAATCTTTATTGTTCAGATTATTACAAATGTTCCTTTTTTCCCCCCTTCATAGCTCCCCTCCACCAGATTTCCATTCCACACTCTGCCCTTTCCCCACTCCCCATTGTCCTCATCCATAGGTGTACAGTTTTTGTTCAGTCTCTTCCAACACCCCCCACTCCCCTTTTCTCCGAGAATTGTCAGCCCACTCGCCTTCTATACCTCTGATTCTATTCTATTCACCAGTTAATATTGTTCATCAGCTTTTTAATTCCTTTAGTATTTAGATTCACTTGTTGATAGTTACGTAGTATTTATTGTTCATAATTTTTATCTTTATCTTCTTCCTTCTTCCTCTTCCTAAAGAACCCCCTTCAGCAATTCATATAATTCTGGTTTGGTGGTGATGAACTCCTTTAGCTTTTTTTTATTTGTGAAGCTCTTTATCTGGACTTTGATTCTGAGTGATAGCTTTGCTGGGTAGAGTAACTTTGGCTGTAGTTTCTTGCTACTCATCACCTTGAATATTTCTTGTCATTCCCGTCTGGCTTGCATGGTTTCTGTTGAGAAATCAGCTGACAATTGTATGGGTGCTCCTTTATAGGCAACTACCTGCTTTTCTCTTGCTGCTTTTAATATTCTCTCTTTGTCTTTTGCTCTTGGAATTTTAATTATGATGTGTCTTGGTGTGGTCCTCTTTGGATTCCTTTTGTTTGGAGTTCTGTGCACTTCCTGGACTTGTAAGTCTATTTCTTTCACCAGGTGGGGAAGTTTTCTGCCACTATTTCTTCCAGTATGTTTTTGGTATCTTGCTCTCTCTCTTCTTCCGGGACCCCCATAATTCTGATGTTGGTTTGCTTGAAGTTGTCCCAGAGGTTTCTTACACTATCTTCAACTTTCTGGATTCTCTTCTTGCTTCTGCGGAGGAGTATCCTCCTGCTCTTTGGATTCCAAATCTTTGACTTGATTCTTGCAATCTTCCATTCTGTTTTTAGGACTCTGTATAATATATTTTTTTTTATTTTAGACAATGTATTCTTTATTTCTAGTTGATCACTTTTCATATCCTCAAAGGTCTCATTTATTTTATCAGCCTTTTCTAGGAAATTCTTGTAAAACCTTATAACCATGGTTTTGAACTCTATATCCAGTCTTTTGTTCTCCATCTCTTTCATTTGAGATCTATTTCCTTATCTAGGCATTTTCACTGCTTTCCAGAGTTAGTTGAGTGGCTTTGTGTGTTTGGTGTCCTATATGGCTTGGTGGATCACCTCCCCAGTTACCTGAGGTAGACACTCTTGGTGCTCCCCTTTGTGGACTGTTGTTGTAATTAAGTCTTGATTGTTGTTGGTATCCCTGGGAGAAATTGACCTTCAGGCTAATTGGATGTAGGTATCAGCTATGTCTACACTGGGATATCTTCTGTATTGGAGACAGTCTTATAGGATCAGACTTGTAAAATTGCAAAAGCCTCTGTGCTCAGCTTAGATGGGGCGGAATTTCAGGGCTGAGCTGACAGTTTTGGCTTCCCTTCAGCCCTGCCCTTGTGTGATCGCCTGAGTTTTGACCTGACCTCTGCCTTTCAAGGCTCCCCTGAGTTTCCACTTGACTGTCCTGATTCCCTGTGCAAGAGTGTGGGTGCCACAGGGGCTCTCCCGAAATTGAGTTGGGTCTCTGTAGCCTGGAGCTTCTGACTCTTTCTGCTATGGAGAGGCCGAGGCAAACTTTGCAGTCAGACCTCTCTGTGCTCACTCATTTGTGCCGACTGTAGACCCTGCACAGCTCCCCTAGTCTCCCAGTCTCTGAGTCTCCAGGTGCCTTTCTCTATAGTCCAGACTCCACCAATACAAGCCTGGGTCCATGGGGTTTTGGCTGGGGTTGGGGTTCAGTGCAGTCGGTTAGGGTTCAATGCAATCGGGGACTTCCTTTCCCCTCCAGCCAGCCAGGCATTCGGCCGCACTTCCTCTCTGCATGCGCATCTCCCTACTTCAGCGCCTTGCTGCTGCCAGTCTGATCTGTGAGCCTCTCTCCTTCTTTCTGGTTGTAGATTTACCACTCCGCCAGCTTTCCTGTGTTTTTGGATGATGTTCATTCTGATTTTAGTTGTTTTGAAATTGTTGTGTGAGGCGGCAGCTTAGGTGCTTACCTAGGCCGCCATCTTGCTTCTCTCGTTTTGAGAACTGTCCCTTTCTCCATGTTTCTCTGCTTTCCTGTGTCTCCATCTTCCTTTTTTTTTTTTTTAATATATTTTCTTGATTTTTTACAGAGAGGAAAGGAGAGAGATAGAGAGCTAGAAAAGTCGATGAGAGAGAAACATCGACCAGCTGCCTCCTGCACACGTCCCACTGGGGATGAGCTCGCAACCAATGTACATGCCCTTGACTGGATTCGAACCTGGGACCCTTCAGTCCACAGACAAATGCTCTACCACTGAGCCAAACCAGTTTCGACGAGGTGTTTTATTTTAATTCTGAAATGACTACCCCTTGCAATGGCTGAAGCTACCTGTGCAAGTCTGTTTATCTAGCCTCCTAGAGAAAAAAGTTATAGGGACCAAGAGTTCAGGCACATTGAAGAGCAATCCCTAGACAACATTTAAAGTTTCTTCCCCCACCACCCACCCCAATGCAATGGTTAACAAAAGCAGTGTATTATTTATTTAGGTCTCTTTGTTTTCATTAAACCAACATCAAAGATTGTTTCTGAAATCCTGTGTCAAGATGGCAGATGATCAAGGATAATAACAAAATCAACATTTTCTAAGAACTTACTATGTAGCAGTACATACATAGTATTTGCTTTCTCACATTATCTATCTTTGCAAAAACAAACAAACAAACAAAAAAAACAATCAAGGCAGGTGCTAGTATCCCTTTCTACAGGCAAAGCAATTGAGGCTATAGGAAACCTCTCAGAAATTATGTATGGCAGAGGCAAGTGGGGGCCCAGACCTGTCTGGCTCCCAAACCTGTGTTACTCTACATTTACTTGCTCCCAAAGTTTGCCTCATTTTCAACCTGAATAGTAATAAGACCACTGGACATAGAACTTGAGCCAATATTGGTGACATTTTAATGGCTTTTTAGGCCACATTTCCTTAAAAACACACTTCATCAAATTCACCAGACAATGCTTTGAAAATATGAAAGAAGCATTTTCTCAGCAAGATTTATGAGAAAAAATTAAGACTTAATCTGGGAAAGAGCTTCCCGTGTAGAGAGTCCAGGTCAAGAGGGCATCTGAGCACACATTTTTGCCCTTCCTTTCTGAGATACTAAACAGTTAAGAGCAAATAAGAAATAGCCCTGGAAAACAAGAAAGCTGTCATCAGTAGACAGTATTGAAGAAGTTCTTATACAAAAGAAAGTAAGTGGACTCAGGTTAATGGAAAAGCAGAATAGGAAACACCACAGCTCAAGACAAGAGAATTTTGTTCTGAAGGGAATTTCCAAGAAGCTCCTAGCTCAGATTCAACAATATGCAGAGATGGGGCTGAGGCCTGTCATTCAAGTTCAAGGAGTGAACTTAGAAGAGCTTACAGGCAGATTCCTTCTCTCCCCTTGTACAGAGCATTTGGTAGGAGTTGCTTTTTATTCCAGATGAACCCAAAGAACTGCTTTCTAGAAAATGTGAGCAGCCAGCCTGAGGGATTTAGGTCTGAAAGAGAAGCAGAACACAGTAAGAGGTTCTTGAAAGGAAGGGCACATTCATTGGTAAGGGAAGGCATATTCTATCTAGAGAGAACTGCAGCCACAAAGTCCAGCATCCTCATCCTAACTCTAGCCTAGCAATAGTAGGGTTGCCCACCTTGCCTGCTCCCTGATGACACTCCCCGGAAGCTAGCTCTGACATATGTCACCCACCTACATAGGACTCACAGTCAAACTCCCCTCTGCATGCCCTGTCAGAAAAGAGAACTACTCGGGCCCTGTCTGGGTAACTTAGTTGGTTGCAGCATTGACCAGATGTGCCAGGCTTATAGGTTTGATTCCCGGCCAGAGCATGTAGAAGAATCAGCCAATTAATGCATAAATAGGTGAAACTGCAAATCGGTGATTCTCTTTCTTTTTCTAAAAATCTCTTTACATAAAAGCATAATATGCAAATAGACTAGACCACAGAAATGACCAGTCGCTATGACATGCACTGACCACAAGGAGGTAGATACTCAATGTAGGAGCTGTCCCCAGCCAACAGGCCCCAATCAGGGCCTGCCAGCCAACCTCTCGCTCCCTCCCCCTGGCCAGCAGGCTCTGATCACCAGATGGGAAATGAGGAACCGAGGGTGGGTGACATCAGGCCGAGGTGGGTGCCAGCAAGTGGGGCCCCTATCTCCTTGCTGGTTACCCCACACACAGAGGGCCACCGGTGGTGGGGGCAGGGCCAGTGAGCAGGTGGGAACGGCCAACCTCTTGGTCCTTTCCCCCTGGCCAGCAGGCTCCAATGGTCCGATGGGGAATGGAAACCTTGGATGGGTGGCAGTGGGCAGCAGCCATGCGAAGGCGGGTGCGAGCAAGTGGGGCCCCAATCTCCCCACCAGTTGCCCCACACACAGAAGGCGACCAGCTTTGGCAGCAGGGTGTGGTGGCGAAAGGGCAGGGTCAACTGCCAGCAGCTGGGAAAGATTGGCCCTGATCGCAGGCCAGGCCTATGGACCCTACCCATGCATCAATTTCATATGCTGTGCCTCTAGTCAATGAATAAAAAAATTAAAATATACACACACAACGGAACTACTCAGCTGTAGGACTCCATTTTAGCTACCAGTCATTAGGTAACCAAGGATTATCAGCCACTTAAGGACAATCAGTAGCATGGAAGAAGAAGGAACAAGATAAATAAACCAGAACAACTGATTCTAAAAGAAAAAAGAAGCAATACAAAGAACAAAGAACTTTAGTATGTTGTAAGCATACCCACAAAGACATTAAAAAAGACTCCACAGCAGTAGAGAACAAGAACTGGTTCTTAGAAGCTACAAATATGAATCCTGAAATAAAATCTGTACAAACGCCGAAACTGGTTTGGCTTAGTGGATAGAGTGTCGATCTGGGGACTGAAAGGTCCCGGGTTTTATTCCAGTCAAGGGCATGTACCTTGGTTGCGGGCATATACCCGTAAGGGGTGTGCAAGAGGCAGCTGATCGATGATTCTCTCTCATTGATGTTTCTAACTCTCTATTCCTCTCTGTGAAAAAACAAAAAACAAAAAACAAAAATATTAAAAATAACTAACTAAATAAGTAAGTAAAATCTGTACAAGGGTTGCACAGGAGCATGTAAACACCTAAAATCTTAGATATCCAGAGGCCTAATAGCCATCCTTCAGATACCTGCAGTATGGAAAGAAAAGAGGTAGTGCATGGAGGAAATAAGCAAATATCAGAAGGGTTTGAGAGTCATGATCAGCAATACCAGATATTATCGTACAATGCAATAAAGCAATCAATATATTCAGAGCACAAGGGAAAGTGGTTTTAAATCTATTGTTTTATGCCAGGTTATATGATTAATAAAGCATGAGATAAAATGAAGATGTTTCAAAACAGGCAAGGACTCAGAAATTCCCCCGAGATCTATATGAAATAATTACCTGAGGAATTTCTTCAGCAAAAAAGAAAAAGAATAAAAGTAAGCAAGCAATATGGGAATCAAGAAAGTGTGGCCATTGATCACAACTCAGAAAAATTTAAAACAACAAAAAACAACTGAGAGTTGAAAAGTTCATATTTTAGGAGTTAAGCTTTGTGAACATAGGATTTTATTTTCTTGTACATAAACCAAGTAACATTATTGGGTGTCAGCATGAAATTTTGAGTATTGTTGATTGGTTTTTAATTTTTAGAATAAACTTGTACCCAATGTACTAGAGTTAATTATAATTACAAAATATAAATCAAACATAATAAAGCTTGGCAAAGCAATATGACAACATATATGTATATATGTATATGTACATCATATATGTGTTTTTAAATATAATTTGCTATATAATTTGTTGTTAACTGGGAAAGTAAGGATGAGAGAAGAGATAGAAGGGAGTAGAAGTATATTAATGTAATTTTTCATAAGTTAATAGCTGCTAAAGTTGACAAGTCAGGAAGTACAGGTTTAGCCCTGGCTGGTGTTGCTAAATGGTTAAAGCACTGGCCCTAGCACAGAAAGGTCTCAGGTTTGATTCCTGGTCAAGGGAAGGCAGCTTGGTTGCAGGTTTGATCCCTACCTCTATAGACCAAGTTATGTCCTCTCCACAGGTAGGTGAATGCAGGAGGCAACCAATCTGTGTCTCTCTCACATCGATGTTTTTCTCTCACTCCCTTCCTTCCACCCTTCCATTCTCTCTCTTTCTCTAAAAAAAGTAGTGATTTAAATATATTAATGTCCTAAAAAGAGAAAAACTAAAAATAATGTCACAACCAAAAATGGAGAGGAGGGAAGTGGTTTAAACTACATTTGTTTGTCTTTCATGATGATAAGTCATTAGTTATGTCACAAATTGATAAGTCAAGAAATGAAAATATGCTATTTAAAATTGTACTGGAAGCAAAACAAACTGTTTACTGCTAGGACTCAATCAGCAGACCCTGATCGATAGAGAATGGATTACTCTGATACACATTTCTGTGAAAGAGAAGGCTAAGAGGCTGCTTGGCTATTGGAACCAAAGAGCCCCATTCCCTTGCCTCCTCAGGCTTTTATTGTAACAATAGCTTGAATTAAAATTAAGAATTAGATACTATCAGTAGGGAAAGCATCCTTGAAAAGACCTATGTCTGTAGTGTCCTTTAAGCAAGGCTATCTAAAGACTAAACAAAAAGATTACAGTAAAACACCTGGGAGCTCAGACTTGTTTGGAAAAGTCAAGGCAGGGTCTACCACCTTCAGCAAGGTCCCCCTAGAAGTGCCCCCCAAACTTTCAGAGAATCCTCCTTACTGATTTTCTGACCAAGTCCTGTGCTTCCCCACAGTTAACAGTATGTTAATTATGATGAGTGGGGGTGGATTGGTGATGAAGAAGAGTATGAAGATTTAAAATTTGTTCAACTGGCGTGGTTCAGTGGTTTAAGTGCCAACCTATGAACTATGAAGTCATGGTTTGATTCCAGGTTAGGGCACATGTGGGGTTGTGGGCTTGGTCTCCAGTGAGGGGTGTGCAGGAGGTAGCTGATCAATGATTCTCTCTCTCTCCCCCTTCCTCTCTGAAATCAATAAAAGTCTATTAAAAAATAAAATTTTATACCATGTATTCTTTAATATTTTAACCATGTACATATATTATCTTTTAATAAAATGCTGAAATAAGAGGATACATAGAAACATATAATAGAATAGAACTATTCTCCTTATGTTTAATAATTTAGAAGTTGCTTGTAAAAGCAAAACTTGGGTGAATAGTAATTCAAGATTGTAATCTCAGGTTTGGCATAGATTTCAGGGAAGATTTATAAAGATATTTCAAAAAAGATTTCTCTGGTGTCTTCTTATTACAAAGTACTCGTAGGCTAATAGCAACAACAGGAAAAAGAAAAAGAAAAAGAAAAGGATCATAATTTCCATTCTCCTCCACAAGTGTCCTTGATCACTCTTGAATTTAGCCAATAGACTTATGTCCTAAATGTTCATAGTGCTTACACATGCATACAGTTGTTATTGAGTTACATTAAGTACACATGTCCTCTCTACAGGTAGGTGATGAGTTGGAAATGGGCAGGGACCTTGTCTTTATCTCTTCCAAATTGTTTAACAGTGTAAATTTGTAAAAAACAACAATAACAACAAAAAACAAACACCCCAAAAAACAAAAAAACACAAAACTTTAAAAAATTAATTAGTTGTAAATGTCCTGGGTTATTTTACTCCTCTTCCTGACATGTTTATCCAAAAAGTAAATGCAACCAGCTTCAAAAATAACATGAAAACATTATCTTACCTATCTAAATTTACTTCAGACATGCTTTTCCTAAATGTCTGAAATATCGTAGGCAAACCTGTTGAATGAAACATTAAAATTTTTAGCCATTGCCTCTAAATCAGTGGTTCTCAAGAAGACAATTTTGTCATCCAGGAGGCATTTGGCAACATTCGGAAGACATTTTTGATTGTCATAAAGTGGGGTAGGAGCTAATGGCATAGCAGGGCTAGAGGCTAGGGATGCTGCTAAACATTCAATAGTGCAGAGGACAGCCTTTCCCTCTTCCCGCCCCAACAAATAATTATCCTGACAAAACATTTCTAAGAAAGTGACTGGAGTGGTTTCAGCAGAGGAAAAGAGGAAATTTCACAGAAAGGGGAGGACTGTTTTTAGTTACACAAGCACCCTTAAGGCACTACTCCTCCAAGAGGGGAGAGAGACAGGAGAGAGACAGAAGAGAGGAATTGGGGAGGGGGGTCGGGGGTAGGGAAGCAGAGAGACGGGAGAGAGGGGTGAGAAGGGTGAGAGGGGAGAGATCCTTGCGTGCTGTGTGTTCACCTATATCCTAAATTGTGAGCCATCACACCCGCTCAGCCAGGATTTCAATGTGTTTTACAGAAGGGACATATTTAGAAATCAGACACCCAGGGGGACGAAGGCTCTGGCTCCTTTGGGTCAGCTGCCCGGAGGGCCCGAAGCTTCCAGGGAAGGGTGGGCGGCGCAGTACTTGTCTGGGTGGAGACGCTGGAGGGCGAGCTGGTGCTGGAGCTCTTGAAGCTCATGGGCGGGCTGAACGTCAGAGCCTCGCTGGACGGCGAGCTCAGGCTGGGGCTCACGACGCTGGTTAAGCGCGGGCGTGCCTCCGGCAGGTCTTCCTCGTCACCGACTTCCATAATCTTCCACAAGTACTCATCGTCCAGCGCCCTGTGCACCTCCACCCTCGTCTCCTGCACTCCTGCCTCCGCCTTCTCCTCCATGTCTGCCATCTCCTCCACTTCTATCTCCTCTTCCTCCTCTCCTCCCATCGCCAGCAGGTCTTCCTCCTCTTCCTCATCCTCCTCTTCCTGGCCCTCCTCCTCGGACTTCCTGAAGCTGCCCTGCCACTGCATGCTAGCCATGGCGGGAGCCGTGCGGTTGGTCCCGGCCGGGGGCGCGCCCTGTTGTTTGTCCGTCTCCCTGGGCAACCGCGAGCGCGTTCGTGCAATCTGGGGTATTTAAAGCCCCAGAGCCCAGGGGCGGGTTGCTCAGTAGGTTTGGATTCCCAGATAGGGCACATACAGAAGGAAACAATGGATGTTTCTCTCTCTCAAATCAATAAACATATCCTCAGGTGAGGATTTTAAAAAAATATTACAAATAAATAAATAAAGCCCCCGGACCCCCTAAGCTGGGTGGAATGGTGGACAGAGATAGAGAGGTGCTGAGGCCAGGGCTGCTGGGGGAGCTGGGTCACTGCAAACTTCTTTCGCACAAGCTCTCCGTGGTCTCAGAGATACTCTGGCAACCTGCGGCCAGACGATCTCCCGTTCTTCTATCAGCTTCTTTGGGCAAGTTTTTTTTTTTTTTTTTTTTTTTTTGAGTGGGGGAGGGGTAGGGACTACTAGCAATGGAGAGCCATAAGGCCACTTGTTATTGCAGATGCTGGAGTGTGTTTATGTGTGTATACTCAGATACTTGTTGGAAGTTAGATCAAATTTTATGAAACTATAAAAACTTGTGTTCTAGTTTGCTGGTTTGACTTTGTTGTGTATAAGCTACCCCGTTTATGTTACTTTGTTCTAGCAGCCCAAGTAGAATAAGAAAAAAGGTAACTCTGAAACCATGATTAAAAGAAACAAAGCAAGGCCAGGTCATAATTTTGTCTTCCTGTTGCAGAAGACCGAAGAAATACCAAGTACACTTCCTAGAAAAAGGGAGGGACCCTATTTATTAACACTAGTGAACTCCGGGAATAATTTCTAAATCAGAGTGAAGAAACACGCAGAGGGCTTCACTTTTTATACCCTTCTAAGGTCTTTGTCTTGCAGATATGGTTCCAGCCCCTTTTCTTAGGCTTACAGGAAGGCTCCCATGTGTTGGGGGTCCCAAGGCCATATCTGATGATCTGTCCTGGGGCCAGCAATAAGGACACCCCTGACCCCCGCAAGAGCAGTGCATTGTTCACAGTTTTTATGGCCTGACACACCTTGCAAGACCAGGTTCATCCTCATTACACACACACACACACACACACACACACACACACACACACACCCGTACCACAAGCTTCTTTTAGTCTTGTGGAGCAATGACATGACGTGATGTTATGGTGAACAGGGGTGATGACCACTCTGAGCTACTTCCTGCTGGAAAGGAACAATGACCAAAGAATTAGCATCCGGCTTCTTCCTCTCAGAAGGGTTTGTAGGGAGTTCTGGTTTGTAGGGCCATCTGCAGTTTAAAGGTATTCCCGTCCAGTTTGGAGGTAAGCAGTGGTCCCATACATGTATAATGTTCCAGAAAAAGTCACCAGGGGTAGGTGGTGTTCTCAGCTTTGGGGGTAGAGTTGCTTAGTTCATCTGGGAGGTGACCTGTTGGATGTTGGCCCTGCTTACTGCTCAAATAGGAGCAACATTAGTTAGCTGTACATTGGTGCCATGTCCTATTATTTTTTTTCCCATCCAATACAACCCCCACCCCCACGTGCATTTGGTAGTAGAGTTGTAACATACCATAGGCTGATAAGCATAGCTAACAAAAATCTGGCTTCATTGGGTTTTCTCATGAACTACCTGGTCTAGCATATTTGGGTAGTGAGTTTCTAAGCAAGGAGCAAAGGATGGCATCACAAGGTGTAATGCAACAATTTATGATAAGACCTTTGTTTCCTTGCTGTGTGGGGAGCAGTAATTTTATGGTGTTTCTGTGTCTTAGCAAGAATAGATGAGTTCTCCTCTTGGTACTAGTCTTGGATTCCGCTGGTACTCATAAAAAGACAAAATAAGAATTATTAGATAAAACCAGTGATTATCCAGAAATACTAGAGCATGTTATGTTAGGAAGAGATAAGAAAGAAAGATTAGTATTAGGGAGAATTCCTGAATTTCTTGGAGCAAGCTGCTCAGCCAGGTCTGCTGTCTTCTTGAGGGTGACCCAAAGGGGGTGTTTATTGTCAGAGGTGACCTTACACTCAGACTGGATGTCACTCGGCTGGTGAGCTGCCTTCACCCGAGAGTGGTGGATCCAGGTGTTTAGTCCTGCAACCTTAAGCTGTGGGGGTGGTTGATATGACTGGATAGGGTTCCTTTCAGGTAGGCTTGAGGGGCTCCGTTTTCCAGTCCTTTACCCAAACCTGGTCTCCAGGTTTATAAGGATGTACAGCTGTTCCTAGAAAGATAGGTAGTCAAACAGTGACCCATCTGTGGATCTCAAAGACAGTTTTTCCAAATTCTTGTAGTTGTTTCTGGATTTCTAAGATTCCTATTTCCCCTAAATCTCCCTTTGGCCGAATTAAGGGAGGGGGGTCTATCAAATAGAATTTCAAAGGGAGAGAAACCTACCCTGACCCCTGGGGGCACAGCATACCCACAGAAGTACAAGAGGCAAGATATCTGCCCAGAGAAAGGTTGTCTCTTGGCATAGCTTAGCCATAGTCTGCTTTAGAGTCCAGTTCATGCACTCCACTTTTCCTGAACTCTGAGACCTGTAAGTTGTATGAAGATTCCATTAAATTCCTAAAGCCTTAGCTACCCGTTGTACTATTTCTGCTACAAAGGCTGGGCCATTATTGGACCCTATGGTCAGAGGCATTCCATACCGTGGAACTATATCCTTCAGCAATGCCTTAGTGACTTATCTCACCTTTTCAGTGTGAGTGGGATATGCCTCAACCCAACCTGAAAAGGTGCAAACAAAGACTAGCAGGTATTTATTCCTTCTGCTAGGCCCTGTAAAATCTACTTCTGAGTCCTCAAAAGGAGCTTGCCCACAGCGCTGAACTCCTATCGGTCCCACAGGACCCTGTTTTCATTGTTCTGAGCACAGAGGAGGCAGTGCTGAGAGACTGAGGCACATAAGGAGGGAAGATGGACAATTAGGTAGTATCTGCCTAACAAAGCTTCTAGGGCAGCCTTTCCTGAATGAGTTCATCCTGCTGGCAGACTACCTATGGGATAACTGTTCTGGGACATAGTGAGAGGGCAGGGTGGAGTTATCCTCCATTCTGTAATTGAACCCTAGCCCTGACCCAACCTATCAGGGTCAGCCGAGGCATTTGACATCACCACCGACTGGAGTAAAACCCCTGGACTGGGCGAAATTCGCTTTCTTTCGCCATGCTGCCAGTGTGAATGGGACAGAGCCCATGCTAGCATGGAAAAGGCTCTTTTGTTTATTGCATCGGACTCGGCTCCCTGGTGGTCCTTGGGGATCATGAAGTCTGGGCGTAACATATGGGGGCTTGTACGGGATCCCCAGCCAGGACCATGAGGGACCCCGATCCAGAGAGTCTGACTGGCCACGGTAGGTGTGTGCGCGCTTTGGAGGGACGTAAAATTCCTCATGGAATTGGTGCCCAAATATGCCTGGTGGACGCACCATGAAGGCCACGGGCAGAAGGTCAGAAGACTTTCTGACCTCCCGGGAGAGCCCTAGAGGGACCCTCATGTGGGGAGAAGAATAGAGGCGTGAGCTGTTGCCTCACCTGCGGAAACCTTTCCCAGGTCTGAGTTTGGTATCTGCGGACGACATGGTGCCCCAGGATGGAGCAGGCGAAGTGTGGCCAGCGTGGTGGTGAGCGGCCTCCTGGCGGCGTTGGGTCGGGGGGGGGGGGGGCTCCCGTGGAGCTCAGTCTGTGCGGTGGAGCGCGGCTGGGCAGTGGTGGCCTCACTCGGGGAGCAGGCACCTGGGTTAATTTGCTGGCTGCCTAGAGAAGGGGAGGCTGAGCCGGGAAGCCGCTGGGGCAACCCGCACTTCCTCCTCGTGGGGCCGCCTGAGTTGTGTGGCTGCAGTGGCAGCAGCCTCGCATTGGGGGCCTGGGCTTGGGGGAGGGAGGTGCTGGGCCGGTGTGGAGGCCTCAGGTATGGGAGAAGAGCTCAAGGGTGAATCTCTGTGCTCAGTAAAGGGAAAAGGCCAGTTCAAAACGAGTGAGCATAGTTTTGGGCTGTGCTTAAAACTCTTTTCTGTGTACAGAATAAGTTTTAAAAATGGTGGAGATTAACTGGGAGATAAATTAAAACTGATTTCCCAAGTCATTGTAAGCAGCTTTTGAGGTGGAAATTAGATGGAAATGGCTGGGAGTCTTCAGCTAAAGAATGTGTTCATTTGCATTTGAATGCTACTCCAGTGATCTGCAAGGAGTGGCAGGTGATTCCCTGGTGAAGCTGCCCAGGTGGCCTTGCTTACAATGTTTAGTCTTCCTTGTCATTGGTATCAGCTAAGCAGAGTCATTTAGCTACTTAAGTATGAATTGTGAATGACCTATGAACAAAATTCATTCTTTTTTCTGACACTGTTTTAAATCTTAGTAAACTGCCTCTGGTGCAGAGAGGTCTAGGGGAGGCCGGAGAGTGCAAGACTATTAGCTCTCCAGCAAAGAAATTATTCAGTGCTTTGTTTGAACTTCAGAAAAAATTTTGAGATCTGAAAAAATGTGTGACCAGATCTGTTGCTGAAACTTTACCCTAAGTAAGCAGGATGTATTAGAAATGTAATGTTATTAATCTAAAAAATGCCAAATATATTTGACTTGCCAGCTTTAAAAGTTCAAAGTATAAATTGAATTAGGAAAAGTTAACTAAATGCCTAGAATATGGCAGGCTAAACTGTATAACATGTGTTAAGAGTAAGCAGTAATGATCAAAGATCTCAAAAATTGATTTATTCTCATTTGTCAGATGAGGAATCTATATGATGCTTGAGTCCTATCCAGGTTGTTTCATACAGACCTAAGTAAATTTGTTGGGAATTTATAATGTGCCTCTTGTGAAGAAGTAGGCCAAGTCATATATTTTTCTCTTAATGTAGAAAAAGTGATAGCCATATTAATTTGTTTTGTTTTGCTTTTCTCATATGCCATTGTTGTTGAATTTGGGCTTGTACCTGCATCTTGTATTTGTACATTCGGTTGTTTAAACTTTGG